CCAGGTTTAGAAATTACAAAATAAAAATAATTTTAATATTATATTTAATATTGTTTATAACGTGTCGGTTTGGGTCGGGTCAGGTCTGAGACCCAGAGCCTATCCAATAAGGTCCACGCCGGATCAAGATTTGACCTCCGGTCCCAAAAACTGAATCTAAACCCAGTTTAGCAAGTTGATCCGACCGGATTGCCACCCATTTCTAACTGCAAGGAGTGCTGCTCTACCAAAAGCATATTTTCTCCTCACACTATGTCCTAGTGTTGCCCCAAGTGTTGTGTACTGTCTCTCAATGTTAATCTCCAATGCATCGATGTGGCCGTGTCCATACGTGTTCTCTAGGGCTTATACGTATCATAGCCATGCGATAGTTAAAAATAGAACAAATCCCTTACTTGTAATAGCAATAGAACGTAATAAATCAGGTCATGGCAATCTTTGAGTCCATTCCTAAGTCAAAAAATTTCTTGGATAATTTTTTAAAAGGAGAAGTGTTTGGTGAGTAAGCCTTCTCTCGTGTTGATGTGTCCCCCCTTCAGAACCCATCTTAAAGTTGGATTTTGAATTTAAAATTTTAGGATTTGTTAATATCAACTATAATAATGACCATGAACACGTTTTTTTTTTCTTTTTGAAAAGAGAACTTATGTATGGACCATGTTTCTCGCTCTTTCCAGAAGTGCTCTATGTTCGGCATTTCCAACACAACATGTGGGAAATTCCTCAAATTTTTTTATTTTCATTTATTCAAGGTTTGACTGATATCTGCAATGCCAAACATCCCCATATGTTGGTATGTTTGGTTTTTTTGTTTTTTTTTATAAGATGGTATGTTCGGTGTTTACAACCATAAAAGTCAAGCTCCTGGGGAATTTGATGTTGGCATATCAGATAGTATAAATTTGCTATCCGATGTTGTCAATATCAGCACACGAGCTAACTTTTTTTTTTTTGTTTTTTTTTCAAGTTTAAAGCTGTTTGGTATTTGCGATAATAGACATCTTGACACCAAAAAGACCCACTCATTAGTTGTGTAACATTGGCAATATTGGATAGCTTTTTGGAGAATTTCGATATTGCTAATGTCGAATGGCCTATGGGCTAGTCTTTTAGGGTTTTCAATATTTATATTGATCAACCCAACAAATAGCCTTATTTGGTGTTTATGATATCAAACAAACCTTAATAAATGAAAAATGGAAAACATAGTTCAATATTAGAAATGTGAGAAAGGGGAACAAAACTTGAAAAGAAAATTACATAATATAAATCATTATATAATAAAAAAATTTTAATATAAGGTTGTAACCTTATTTTTAGAAATAAGGTTGCAGTTGTCTACACTGTCCATTTTATTTTGATAGTGTAGATTGCACACTATCTTATGTGTCATCCATTGACATTTAAAAAATGTGTCAAATCTACACAAATCCAAATAAAAATGGATAGTGCAGAGTATTTCAATCTTATTTCTACATATAAAGTTGCAAACTTATACGAACTGTACATTTTTATAATCTTGGTGGAGGGAAATATGGTCAAGTATATTCTTTTTTAAAAATAGAATAGTATATGTTTATTTTTTGTTTGCACCATCTATTTTAACATTTAGTGGAGGCACCTCACTTTGATGAGCGCCATATGTCTAAGGAGACACAAAGTTTAGTGAGTCTGCCAACTCCCCAAATCCAGGCACTTTTTTAATAAAGATGAGTGACTTTTGCAACAAGCATACAATAATATCATGAAACAATATTAAAAAGCTGTTAGGGTCATTTGTTTGGCCGCAAATTTTAAATATACATTCTTTCCATTGTAATGAATAATAGCAAAAATGAAAACTTTAAAAATATATTTTAGAAAGTGTTTTTTTAACCCAATTAATATATGTCGTCCATTTTAGTGAGATGTTTAAATCTAGTGCTTAAAAAGATTTTTTTTTCTTTCCAAAATTTTAGATAGCTATATTATCATTAGATTACTAATATTATAAATAAATAAATTTTTTATTTTGAATTCATAAAAGACCTAGATCTTGAAATTCACTAAATAGGTGATTTATATTCATCGTTAGATGAACTCATTTTGACTGTATCAATGGTGCAAATTGAATTTTATCTTTTTAGAGTTGATTATTAGGAAGATGCGAAATTATGTCCCTAGAAATGTGGTTTCATTATATTTCAATAACCCGGTGACATAAAATCATTCACTTTGAATAAAATGCAAAACCTCCTAAAAGATTTCCTACTTCCTCGGGAGTATACTATACATACTCCCTCGGGCAAAACACTTGCGAGGTATGCTATTTAGATCTCAAAATTTGGGGATGTAATTTCTACAATCTATACACTAATATCAATATATATCAAAAAAAAAAATTAATTAACCCTCTACAAGTTTGAATAGAGGCTGTCTAATTTTTGAAAGGGTAGATTTAAGTGTCACACAACTCAAAATCTAAATTTTTTCTTTTAAAAATATTCATCTGGTAATTCTTATGTGGTTTCCAAAATTTTGGACCAAAAAATTCATACTAAATAGGTATTTTGAGCCCTGTTGGCAAAAACAACTGGGTCAACCCATAACCACCGACCAGCTTACTTACGGCCGGTTTTGGCAAATTAGGATGGTCAATCGGCTTGACCACCTTATCTTAAAAAGAAAATTCAAAAAAATAAAAAAATAAGAATTTTATGTAATAGTTTTTTTTTTTTTATGTTTTCTATTATTTTGAAAAATATTGGGAAGTATTTTAGCCATATATATATTAAAGGTGCAGTTTATATAGAGCCGAGGCTCTAAACAATCAAATTAGAGCCCGCCTTCAAATAGTATTAAGAAATATGGTTTCAATAGTAGAATGTTTTGTGATAGCCTTAAAATACATTTCAGCTTTTGTTATAAAATTTGAAGCATAAAAAATGGTATAAATCGAGGAAATCTATGAAAACTTGAAAATATTGAAAATTGACGGTCCAAAAATGCGTTACAAGATGTACTATTTCCAAAATTGAAATCCATTTTTTTCTCATGCTCATGTATCTTGATGTCGAGATGATCAATTTGATGATATTTGAGCATCAAAACAACTTCTTCCGATGAAAGTTTTGAAGTAGGCTCTAATTGTATTGTTTAGAGCCTAGGCTCTATATAAACGTTTTCCAAATACTAATGTTTATATTTTACCCATCTGTTTTGAAATATCTGGTTTTGATAAGGTCATTACCTTAAATAAGGTAATCCCGTCACCTCCAAAACTCATCAAAAGATATAATTTTGATGTTGAAAATTTTAATAATGAGTTAAAAAACTACTTCACATGGTATTATAAAATTTAAAGCTAGATTGAGCAGATCGAGTGACCCATAAAAATCTTAAAAATGGATAGTATAGATAATATGCAAGACAAGATGTATCATGACAAAAAGGGATATTATGGGACCGGACCCGTTACGAAATAGAGAAATACCGGTACTCTTATACACTACCATACTTCCCACAAGTGTGATTTACATTAATGAGCCTGCCTATTTACAACACACAAGTATAGAGTGATTTCAGCCCTCCGATTTAGCTCCAATCTCAATGTCAAAACCCTCGTTCACCTGTTAACCCATTCGTCAGGTTATCCAACTAATTTTCAGTTTTATTTCTGACCCTATTAATCACTACCCCAATTTTGGGTATTCCTCCTCTATGTCTGCCTTCTTTTTCTCTCTCCGTTCCCTCTCTCTCTCTATGACTTTCGGGTTTTTCATGAAAGTATGTGAGTGTGTTATCAGGAAAGTTTTGCTAGTATATAATGAATCCAAACCTTTGAACCTTTTCTTAGCTTAGCTTTAACATAATTGTTGTCAATATTTGAATCTCTTATATAATTGTTAGAAAAAATTACAAAAAATCTAGATTATGTAACTTATCCCCAACTTAGCTTTCTCTCTTATTTTTTTTCCCAAAACAAATTTTTTATACAAATACCGTCGAGGAAAAGGTTTATTTTTTTTAAACGGAAATGCCCTTCCCATACACAAAATCATTTTGTCCAGATTTGACTTTTACTTTTGGATCCAGTAGCACATTGCGAGACGTCACAAGTGCAGACCTCTCTAAAACAACCGCTAGGCCGAAACTGAGCACCAGACTGCCTTTATATAGTGTCGGAGCCCTGAAATCGGCATCTAATAACATATACTATCGAACCGCCATTTGTAACTGCGGACTGCCCTTTGCAACTGTCGGAGCTCATTATGCACAGTGCCGAATAGACCGCATTTTACACGGTCCCGGAGTCTTACTACTGAACCACACTTTACCTGTTTCGAAACCCTATTACCAAACTACATTTTACCTATTCTAATGGGATAGAGGAAAGAGAAGCATGCGTAAAGTTAGAGTTAGGGAAGTAGTTTAGGCATTTTTTTTATTTTTTATTTGATTGGAGGTATTTGCAAAGAAAATATGGAAAGAGAAGCATGCGTAAAGTTAGAGTTAGGGAAGTAGTTTAGGCATTTTTTTTATTTTTTATTTGATTGGAGGTATTTGCAAAGAAAATCTTTTTAGAGAGAAAAGTGTGACAAAAACTTAAGTTGAGGTAAGTTGTATAGCAAGTTTAGTGTGGGTTTTTTTTTTTGGTTATATGGCTTGTAAATTTGCTGGGAATTCTTGAAAGACTAACACAAACACAAAGGAAATAGCTAGAGTTCATGGCCACTGATGATGCGCTCGAAGCTGAGTATCATGACACAGAGGATATAAAGATTATATTTATAGGGAGAGAGAAAGAGGGAGAGAGATAGTACAAAAATTATATTTCTAGAGAGCAAGAGAGGATATTTATAGAGAGAAAGGAGAGGTTATAGCTTTGGGCGGGAGGCGGAAAGAGAGAGGAACGAAGAGAGGGAAAATCCAAGAGAGAGAAACGGAGAACGAAGAGAGGGGAAATCGACAAAAAAAAAGAAAAAAAGGTACGGATTAGTAGGATTAGGCATAAACCTGACAATTATTTAGATAACCTGATGAGATTCGACCTAGATCTGACGGTGGAAGGCTAAAATCACTTGTAAATTTGCAATGATCATTCCCCATGGAAAACGCCATATTCCTCCAACGTTCTCGCACTTTCCCCTGAAAACTCACCTCCTCTAACAAAATTTCGACCGAAATAACAGAAATTCGATAATACGACTCTGGATCTCGGCCTATACTTAGTGGAAACAGTTTTCGCTGAAATTTCTTAATTTCGGCATTCACGTTTCAGAGGGTGTGCGAACGTTGCCCAATTGGGGAGAGGGAAGATGACGGCCTTGAATTTTCTCTCTCTAACTGCGAAATTTGCTCTCTACTCTCCGCAATGTTTCAGTCACAGAGAGAGAGACTCTGGAGTTTATCCGAAATTTTGGCCGACTAATTATGCGAAATTTCGTGGCGGACCAGGCATGGTGGCTGTTCATGTTTCAAATTCTTTATCATCGGAAATCAAACCACCAAAACCCACAATTAAGCTTGAATTCATGGGGGTTAACACCTCTCTCTCTTGAAATGGGTTGCTCTTTTATTTGAATATATTGGAATTTGGAACTAATGGGGTGTATTCTATTTGGGTTTTCATCAATGCCTCTCTCTCTCATGAAATGGTAGCTGAAATGGGTTGCTATTTTCTTTCACTATATTGGAGCTTTGGGGGTGTATTCTATTTGGGTTTGCATCCATGCCTCTTTCTCTCTCTCTCTCTCTCTCTCTCTCTCTCTCTCTCTCTCTCTTACATCCATTACTTTATTTGATATATCTTGTAAACAGCCAAAACCAAACCCAGATGGTACCTGTCCAGTGCAGACAGCTTCAGCACTCAGTGGAGAGAAATTGCTCAGAAACATAATGCTTGATAATAAAATTGAGCTATATGCCGCATATGTAAGTCTACTTCCACTTCGAATTTCATCACTTCTCTGATTCTTTTATGTATCAACAATGCTAACAATAATGTGAACACTTTTTTAGTTGTAACATTATTTTAGTTCTTTATTTGAACCTTGATAGATTTAACAGTTTCCGGTTTGACGACAATTAATAGTACCCATTTGCAGTATCAAGATTAATAATTGAAGCACATTTTGAAAGATTGTAATATAAATGTACCCAATTTGAGGTATCAAGATTAATAATTGAAGCACATTTTGGAAGATTGTAATATATATGGCTGCAGACTAAGGGGTTTGTTTTTATGAACTTCAGGACACAGGCTAAATGTTCTTAGTCTTTGTTATTTTTGTGGTGATGAATTTAATATCCTTTTTTGTAAAATTTATTAGGGTAAAGTCATGAATTGTGGGGGTGGTGGAAGTTGTGGCACTTGTATTGTGGAGGTAAGAACGAAAACGTTGGACACGTTTGTGATTACATTTTTACTGAATTTGGATGTTTTGTGTTTATTCTCTGTTGAGATCATTAAATTTAGTATGAATGCTATGCATCACTTAGGTGTCTTCACTTTGGTAAAATACTTTTGGACAGTTTCTTTTGCCTAAAATGTTTAATTATTTTGGGTTGTCTTTTGTGAGTATTCTTCATCTTTTATGTTAGGCCCCTCATTTCTCAATGTTATCTTCTATGGTAGATTCTTGGCCATTTGAAAATTTTGAGGGCCTTAGAAACTTTTCCACACCAGTAAGTGGAAAACTGCAAGGAGAAAAAGTATGGAAGAAGTAGAAAGAAATCTGTGGTAGGCAAGGGAAACTCTGATGGCTTTCCTACCCAATGTAGAAAAACATGGACTCTGCTCAGAACTCAGAATGGTCATCGCATCCGAGAGCAACTCAGCCGAGTCTACCAAGAAATTAATAAAATAGCAGGAACCAGCCAATCTCGGCCGGTTTCCATGTTTAGGGGTCCAGGCTCAGCATCGTGCTGAGCCTGAGTGACTTGGGTGGATCCACTTGGGCTTGCATTCTAGCATTGTTCCTACAAATTAACCTTTCAAAAGCTTAAAATTTACATGGGAGAATGATTGCCATGAACAAGAATACTGAGAGTCGAACGTCAGCTGGCTTCAATGGAAGCTGATTCATGATAAATTTGTTTTGACCAATGTTCAAGAAGACGTAGGCAACTGCCTGGGTGGTGAGGGCTCTGGACTCCCTAGGCAGGCGCCTAGCATTTTCCGCCTAATACTGTCCTCCTTAACCACGCCTAGGCTTTTTTTGAAAAAGTCCGCCTAGGCGGCCGCCTAGGTGGTCGAGCGGCTGACTTTTCGTTCATTGGTTTTGACATATCAGTTTTTCAACACAGTTTTCAGTATTACTTTTGTGTTGTTAAGATGTTTGAGTCTTTATAAATGGACCCAATATTTTGTTTTGAAGGTCATCCATGGTAAGGAGCTCTTAAATGAAAGAACAGCAACAGAGCAGCGGTACCTGAAGAAGGCATGCTATCTATCTGTTCTCCCGTTTTCAATCTCTACTTGGTTCACCATGAAAAAGTAAAGAGACCTGGTATTTTAATCTGTGAAATACCTAAGAACATTCTATCTCAAATGATAGTGAATGGTGTAATATGAGCTTGATAATGAAAAACACATGGCCCAAGATTAGAAGTGTGGAAACTTTATCTACTCCACTTTACAAGGTCATTTCTTTGACTTAAATCTTTTGTTTATATTGGCACCATAGAAACCTGATTCTTGGAGGCTTGCCTGTCAAACTATAGTTGGAAACAAGGAAAATTCTGGAAAGGTATGTTTTCTAACACACTTTCTTTTCCTATTGCATTCATGATCTAGTTTCATGTACACCATTGGTTGCATGCTTAACTAATGGGACAAATGAGATTTGAGATACCCCGAGTGAGTCTGCACTTTGTTATTGTCAATGTTCTGTGACTCGTCCGAGTCAAATTGGACTTGGTCATGCAGATTCGGCCTGTGGGTGAGACCGAGTAGGGTGTATACCCTACATTATATTATAAAAGTATAATGTTTAATTTGATTCACATTACAGCTAAACGCCTTAGTGGTTAGTGTTTACCGTCTCTGACTCTCATTTTTGGGAGATCGAATCCCTCAAACACCATTGTAGCAACCTATCGGGGATCAAATCCCCTCAGACACCACTTTACCACCCTAGAAGGCATACACTTATATTCCATTTATTTTTTAATAGAGGTTCAAAAAACTCGCCATTGGGGTGGTTCAATCCCTAGACCTCATGGGAAAAGCCCAAGACATCTACTGAGTCACCATCTGAACTTTGTTGTAAATCAAAAAAACGTTATATATACTGCAATTTTCTGTTTTTCTTTTATTGTTTTTCTGAATGGGCTGGACTCGAGCAAGTTACTTGGACTTGCCCGAGTAACTCACCTCCGGCAATGGGTGAGTACCCAAGCCAAGCCGAATCCCGGTAGCTTGGTTATTGGATTGGATCATTGAACGGTGCTATTAAATTATATTTATGGGTGTCAAATATATTGGGGCTTCAAATAACAACAATAATAATAATGAGGAGGACTAAAAAGACCTCCAGCACGTAGGAGAAGGTAAGACTTTTCTATGAATTGCATTGTGAATGTGTACCCTCGATTTCTTCGATGGCGGCTCCTACTTTAATTACGACTCCCTTTAACTATGATTCTGGACCATCCATTTATTAGACGATCAGATAGACTGTTTTAAAAGCTTAAATTCATTTTTCTTTTTGGAACTGAACAAAGTGATCAAGAACTGTGAGCAAAAATAAATGGTTTAAAATATTTCTATCATGGCTTTTGTGGGTAGGATCAAAGATATAAAAATTGACCCCCTGATCCTTCGAGCAACAACAGCAACAATAAACACAGAATGGAGAATAGATTAGGTGGTCCTGAGGGTTTATGTTGTTCATTGGGACCCTCTGGTCAAACACCAGGCTTTGGGATTTGATGTACCCAAAACCATCTAATAATATTTCTTTGCATTCTAACATTAACAAAAAAAAATGATTTGAAACTCAAGCTGCCATTAATCAAAATTGGCCCTGTATTTGGATTGTCCGTCATATATAGGAATCTTGGGGTCTTTTCTTTAGGTGTGTCTACATTGATCTTAGATGTACAAGAAGATTTAAGTTTTACTGAAATCTCTCTAACTGGGTCTTTTGATTGCTGATCAAAATCCAACTGTGATCCAGAAATATTTCTTTTCCTCTATTATTCAGGTTGTGATTCAAAGGCTGCCCCAATGGAAGAAGTGATCACAAGGAGAAGAAAGCTAATTCTATGCATGGGAAGTTCAATTGGATGTACATCATAATATTTTTGTATTATCGTTTTGGAAGGCGTATCATTGGATAGACCATTATAGAACATTGTATTCCATCTCTATTCTCATTGTTTTTGTTGTTCTTTACATTAGATTGTCTTCTGTTGGCCGTTTTCTGTATTTCCGGAACAATTTGTTCATTTTGTGGGATTAAAGATACAAAATGTCATTCATCTCTCTAAATAAACACTTTTTAAGTTCGAGTAATTAGGGTTTAGGGTTGTTCACATTTTTGCATGGCTTTTTTGATTGATACATAGTTGCACACGGATGATTTGACCAAATTCCTCAGAAACCAGTAAGCTGAATTTTCCTTTTCCAATTTATTTTCCAAATTATAAAACTCAGATTTTCAGGCTCCCAGGTAATAGCCCAAAAATGTGTTTTGTAACAATGATCCCACCCCCTACAACTCTTCACTCACTCCATGACCATCCCACACCTCACAAGCTCCTCTAGTCCCCTCTTCAACCGCCCAGCAGCCTCAGCACAAACAGTTTCCTCCAGTCCCCCAAATGAAACCCTAATGTACCCATGCCCACCACTTGCACCTCCAGGTATAACCACTACTTTGTGACGCTTAGCGAGCCAGCTCACCACTTTCAAGTCATCAGGGACATTTTCAGGAAGGCGGGCCCATAAATATATGGCCCCCTCTCCGCCCTTTATTGCATCTTTTCCTAATGGCGAGAGGGCCTCTCTTAGCATGTCTCTACTCTTCACCAGGGTCTCGACTCTTTCTGATATCCACTCAGGGCCCTCCTCTAATGCATAAAGCGCGAGCTTTTGGCTGATTATGGATGCACATATGGGAATATTATCTTGGATTTTGAGAAGCTGCTTATCAAGGCCCTCTGCATCAGATGGGTATGCAATCTGCATGCATGACATGGGAGTTGGGATAAGCGGATTGTGACTCGTGGAAAAAATCATACACATACATGCATGCATCTGTTCGGGTGGGTGCATATCCAATTAGATTTTGTGTAGGTATACAAACACGTCCATGAATGTGGGTGAACCATGGGTCGCAAAAGAATGCACAATGAAATTATGTATCCATCGATCTCATCTAATCATCTATCTACACATAAAAGTGTATGTATTTATGTATGTCTTGATATACATACATGTCAACTTGTATGTATGTGTGTCTGCCTAGAAGGAGGAACTAGTATTTCCACCCATCAATAGTATGGATGAGAAGAGACCCTATTTTTGCACAAGTAAAAGCAAGGCACAGTGAAAATTGAAAAAAACAAATAGCTTGATGAATATCACTTACATATCCAACTCGCCACCCCATCATGCCATAGGCCTTGGAGAAGGAGAACAGGTTCACTATATGCTGATCCTCGACACATGCATGTTTCAACCCATCATACATGAAGTACCTGCCAGGCGATGGAGATTCATGGATATCTTAAAAGCCATGAGATACAGTAGTCAATTTAACATTCGATGGCTATGTGCCTATGCACTAATCATTCACAAGGACCACAAGCATTCAGTTTATTCTGCATGATCACATGTGAAACTATATTCCATAATAATTATAATCATCATCATCATTATTAAAGGCTTTTCCCAACTATTTTGGGGTCGGCTACATGAATCTTAGTCCGCTATTTTGCTCAATACAAAGGGGAAATATATATATATATATATCTATATATATATATATATATATATATATGAGAAATGATCCTATAGGACCCTCCCCCCACCAGTGTGTGTGTAGGACCCCAAAGGATCACCATTAAATTTGACACGGATCTATAGAAAAGTCATGTCCCACACGCATGTGTGTAGGACCCCAAAGGATCGAAGTCCAATGAGTGATGGACAATGATGGAGAGTGGGACCAACTTTTGGGGTCACATCCTGTTTTGTTGGGTGCCAATCTCACTCTGTCACTGTCCATAATTTCAATGGACAGTGTTGACCCAATGCACTACACTTTTCTCCATGGTCCATGCGATTATAGCATGCTTTCCCTAATACAAATTATAGAGAAAGATAGTATACACTAACTTACTCATAGGTATTATCCACCACAAGCCATGAACCAACACTTTTGCAGAGATCTGCTATTCTCTAAACCATACGAAAGGGAAAAACATAATGAGGATCAAGATTCAAGAATGATCAGAGAAATATAGAGAATCATCAATTGGATGCTTAGAATAAAGAAGAAACACACCTTGAGAAGATGCGCGGGAATGAAAATCCCTGATGGGTTGCCTGGATTGACAACACTAACAAGTTTAGGGACAGGCTTATTCTCCTCCTTTGTTAAAGTTCTTTCTAACCAGTCTGCAAATCCAACAAAAAAAGAATTGGTCCATGACAAGAATAGAGAACTTCAAACATGGAAAGGTTCACTTGGGGAATGTATCATGCAGGGAGATGAATGCATGGGATGTAGAAAGATTCAACAAGCAAATGAGAAATGAGAAATGGAATCTCAATCTCTAACCCTCAACATATAGTGGCCATGTAAGATATAGACTGATGCTCTCAGATTCATTTATGTTTCAGTTACAATATAATCATGCACACCTTCTGAGAAATATGATCCCACGTTTGTTTGGACCCAATATTTAGTTTCTTTGAATATTTGCTGGAGAATGTGATGTCCCATCCATTTTTGTTTTTATTGTAAGAATTCACAGGAAGAATTTCTTCAAGATACTGACAATGAATAAACTAAATCCTAATTAACTTCCTCAGATACAGTGGATCCTCTCCTCTCTACAGAACCTGTTAATGAGCTTCAAGCCTGTGGCCACAAGATCATAAGTTGGGATGAACATTTAAATATTTTACAAATAGTCCACAAGTAATGCTTTGCTCTTCCAAAGGAATATTTGTTCACTATCTGTTGACTGGAGCTGGTATTATTAGCTTCCTGACATTTAGGGGACCCTTCCTCTCTCAAGAGTGTGGACACAAGATCACAAATCGGGACCAACATTTAAATATTTTATAGATACTTCACATTTAAATACTCTCTCTCTCGATCTCTTGCTCGATCTCTCTCAATCTCTCTCTCTCTACATACAATTAGATGTATATTGAGCTTACACATGTTTCTCACATAATCAATGGTTTCTGATCTTGGTAAAGACATCAACTCTGAAATAAATGTAAAGGATTCTAAGGCAAACTACTTGCAATGCAGAAATATTTGAACCCATTGTTTACAAAGCATTAATATCACAAATAACATAGGTAAAAAAGCTAAGAAAAAATGCTGAGATAGGAAATTTCCATACCTACATCGGGCTGAAGTGTATCAGGGTTTCCAGGCCCCACCAATATGTTTGTGATGCCTGTCATTTGGAAGGACATGTATGAATTGAAGTAGTATGGTGTAAACATAACAACAGAATCCCCAGGATCACAAAGTGCGAGCACAATATTCACGAATGCCTGCATAAGACAAACTGTTCTATAAAACATTTTCCAGAATAAATACAGTTATATGCTTTATGGATTTATCTGAACAAAAATGAAAAAAATCAGAAAAGAAAGAAGAGAAGTAACAAAATGAAATAGATATCATGATGTCGTAGAATAAGGGAAAGACAATCCATCCACGCACATTGAATCTGATAATGATCTCATTAGACTTGCAAATCTGAACTATCAAAGTGAAATAAGATAAGGCACTAGATAAGTCCAGCTCAAACATCAGTTACATGAAAGAGTGTAAATAAAAATTAGTATAATAAAACAGAGTAAATAATTAAAAAATAGAGTAACACAAGGAGAAACTCCACAAAATAAAAAAGCATTAAGGTAGATGATCAAGGTAATAATGAGCACTGGGAAACAGAGGTATAACCAAGGACTTAAAACACTAAACTCACAAAATCTACAAAGGAACCACATGAGCGGAAATAAAGACACATAAACAATATCCCGCAGAGAGGAATGATCAACATAGCTTGTAAATACCACATCATATGTTTGACCACCAATGGCTATGACATAAATTTTCTTATTGATGATATTCATTCATATATTTCAGACCATTGACTTGAATAAGGGTCATGTTTGACACAGCTGTTGCTAGTCTTTCTGTTTGGTGATTATGTTCACAGAAACAATAGACATATCAAAAATCAAATTTTTAAGAATAAATATCCTCAGACTTTGGGAAACCAACTATCAAAGATAATATGGCTCAATCCAACTATACTTTCAGATTAAAATGTTGTCCTAGTTTCAATGAAGTAAATGGTTCAATCAGATTTCAAAAGTATTTGAAGTGTTAAGAGTTACCAATCAAAAGAAGTCAAAGCAATAACAACCTAGAGTTAAGAAACAGGCCCCTGTGGTGGTATCAGTTCATATTCCTCAATAGGTTGTGAATGGGGAATAGGAACTACTCAACCTAAATACAGGTAATACCATAACAACAGTCTCGTAGAACCAATCAAGAAGTCTTAAAGTCACAATTGAAGAAAAATCGACTGACAGACTTGAAAGAGACCTAAACGGATTGCATGATAATATGTGTGCGTGTGAGAGAGAGAGATGGAACAATTCTTCTCAGCTATGATGAAAACAGACCTCAATAAGAAAAAGTTATTCACCTGATTTGCACCAGCTGTAACCATGACCTTGGATTTGTATAATTTGTTCTCCCTCTGTAACTGCAAAACTAAACGAATCAATTAATTTCGTGAATTGAAAGCACGAAATCCATAATACTTTCAACAACCCTTGAAGAAATAAAATATCTATAATAGAACACCAGGGAGCCGATAAAATTCAAAGCAATCATGTAACCCATTGAATCACCTTCTCACAATTTTCAAATCAACCCAGAATGGTCAATTTACATTCTTATGCAGTACACACTTTTAACATAAGGATCTCTCATAGCTGCCCTTAACCTCCAAATTTAGTTTCGATACAAAATAATTAGATTTTCATGTATATAAGATATAGAAATTCATGAGTCAAGCACTGAATTAATAATTAGAAGAATGGATATGTTAGATATGGAGCTTTTCCAATGAATAATAATTACAACCAAACACTGCTACCATAACAACTTTTTGTTCATTAGACACTGGTTACTGCATCACTTGTGGTTGCATAACTAGTCAGTCCCGATCCTTTTCTGTCCCTTAAGTCACTGAAAGCCTCTACACAATCTCCTGTCATGGGAATTCTTTGTGTCTTACACACAGGTCCTTTTAATTATGCCTTTATAGGGGCAAAATGTTGGCATAAGTTCATTATTCTAGACCATGATCCAGGACCAGTTGGCAGAGATATTGAAGGAAGGGTGTGATGGTGATAGGCAAAAATGTTGAAGCGCTCAAGTGAACTTGAAGGCCTACTTATAACTAAGTTAACAGGAAAAATAGCGCATAGAAGTGAGGTGCGAAAGATGGTAGTTATCCATATTGGATTGGCCGATTAGATCCTATCCATATTTAACTGTGAGCACATGTCATATATATGTGTTTGGGGGAACTGACAGATCAAGACATTGAATGACACACTTAAGACATTGATTATTGTCTTTCTTTTCATTTGTTAAAGAGATGGACAGTTAAATGCACTCATAGCAAATATATCTTCAATCCATTGTGAGCATTTCAGCTAAATTTTCAAAGGCTAGGGATCACTGGGTGATTCTTTAATTCCATCAGATACCCTAAAGTGGAATGCTTAGCTTAATGGAAACTAGGGAAAACGTTTTGTAGAAATTGGAAATTGTTGACGACTTTTCATGCAGATTTGTTCTACAAATTTCTATACTTTGCTCTCAGTCATGTTCCTACTAGGGAGGAACAATTTAGTGGCAGCAAGTATGGTGTATTTAAGAACAAGATGGAGCCAAGGGACCATAGACTGTGCGTGGCTCCAGAGTTTGTCTTTCTGCATCTTGTTTCCTTAATAATAATTTCATCTTTACATTAAATGCGCGTGTGTGAGTGAAACGTGTGTGCATGTTTCACACATGCATGCCTATCCGCATGCAAGTGCACAAACACACACACTCACACACACGCACACAAAGAGAGAGAGAGAGAGAGAGAGAGAGAGAGAGAGAGAGGCCAATAGGCAACAAAAATTCTCTCACTACCTCCTCCCATGATAGCAACAGACACACTTTTCCCCATAATTCTCCCTTTTATTTGGACAATTAGATAAACTGTTTTCAAATGCTTCTTAATGAAGTTATATCAGTACATAAGCAATGGAATTCAGATACTTGCGATGCATTTATTTTGTCATATTCATAACTTAGGAAGATAATTTTGAACCATTCATAACAGTTAACAGTTTCAAAAAACAAAAAAAAAAAATTCAAAGAGAAGTACCTTTTCAGTTAGCGCCTCCCTAAGCTCCTGCAGGCCTTCATCAGCACCATAACGGCTCGATGAAGGCTCCCATATGGCTTCTTTGACCTTGTTTAAAGCCCTCTCTGGTGGTAGCCAATAAACAACACCCTACAACAAAGAGAAATTATGTAATAAAATTGCTAAGAGCATCATTGGAGAATATTAAAAACATGCAACGTGAAATATTTAAAGGGAAAATAAATCTTAGAAAATAAGCATACAATTTCATTTTGGCACATCTTTAGCTCTGATGACTAGAGAGCTACTAGAAATTTTTTGGATCCCAAATATTATTAATGGACAAATCACATCAAACCTGACAATCATTCCTGTGATATTCATGAGTGGTCTTATTAACACTGTCATATTTCATGGACCCCAAGATAACTATTCTTTTTTCTTTTCCTTTTTTTTTTCCTTTGTTTTGTGCTTTTTACGAAGGTAATTTCATAGCATCCATTTCCAGCGAATATACTCTTCCTTACTTGCATTTTATAGGGCTCCAAAGGAGAATGACAAAAAACGTCTTTATATAATGCTTCGTAGGAGTACTTCAAGAAACAGCATACCCATAGGATGGGTGTAGCTGAGATGAGGATGTTGAGATGGAAGAGAGTCAGGACAAGAAAGAATAAGATTTGAAATGTATACATTTGGGGTAACTTAAGTGTGGCACCAATAGATGATAAGATGAGAGAAAGCAGCCTTAAGTGGGTTAGCCGTATACCAGTACAACACCTATTAGAAGGTGCAAGTTGGTTCAAGTAGAAGGCTCAAAAAGAGCAAGAGGTAGGCCCAAAAGGACATTGTTAGAGGTAGTGAGAAAAAAGATATGGCGACGTATAGCCCCTTACTGAAGGTATGGTCCTTGATAGAGCAAAATGACGGATCGAGATTTGTGTAGCCGACCCCAAATAGTTGAAAAAAGGCTCCGATGATGATAATGATGATGATGTTGAGGGGCACCTCATTAGCAATGAACATCCCCTATGTCTCTTTAAAACTTTCATACATGTTCAAGAGAATCTTTTATCAATTGGCCCTATTTCATAGGATAGTCATAAGGGTTCATTATTTCATTAATAACGCTAGAAAGTTCTCATCAATTTACGTGTATGTTTTCATTGAGAGAGATAATTATGAAATATGGCATGTTGTAAGAACTATGGCCTTGGGGAAGGTACCTAATACAATGGCACAATCGCTTTTGATGACATATTTGCTTTTTGAGAACTAAATTCGTTAAGAACCGTTATTTTTGAAAGTTCAAACAATACATACTCTGATCTGAAGTGAGAATTTTGAGCTGCTATAAATCCCAACATCTGAAAAATTGATCAAGAAGTTTCCTATTAATATTTCATTATTTGGTCGAATTAAAAGTTTTGGCTTGATGATTGACATCCAACAATAGTTGGAAGAAAAGGAACCAATACTCAATAATTTGAACAAATATACGCTAAAGTACACCTTACAGAAAAGGTCAAGTTGAAAACTCTAACATTATGTCGATTGATGCATCAAGTGATCATTAACATAAAGATATAAAAGTATAAAAAACACAAAGCAGTACCATATTCAAACATTAGAAAAAGAATAAAGCACACTTAAAGCATATAACAAACTGGCACCAGTTGCAAATTATACCATAGACAAATGCTAAATAAGAGCCATTGATATTATATATAACTTCCCAGCCTTGTCTTTCAAAGTGTACGCTACATGGATCTAATGAATTGGATGAAGAAATTATGATAGGATACAAAAAAGAAGAATAGTTCTAGTTCAGTACAAGTAAAACATCAAAAAACGGGTCTGGACCAATACAGAATCAGAAAAGGACTGAAAAGGAAGGTATCCACACCTGTGCAAGCGAAATGGCACCGTTCACCCCCCGAACTAGTTCCTGTATCTGTGGGATCGAGCACAATTGATCATTAATAATTTGAAAATGGAATCAAAGGCAAAGAGCAGAAAAACATGATATGATAATCCATAAGCAATTTTTTGTGAAATTTGAAATACAGAGTCTAATATATCTTGCTCAAAACTCTTCATACATTTCGAAGATTCAGAAAATGGATTGGCCAAAAGTACCAAACCTTTTCTGGAACATTCAGAAGTCCAATTATGCTGTTTGGGTATCTTCCTTATATATACCACCATTAATTTAAGGGTGCAGTTGGCATACGGATGCATCCGTAGCTGTAGAGGTAAGGTGCACATTCAATTTTATCATGGTATATAATTTTGATGTAAAATGTTCTTAGGATTATCTCAAAATCTAGTTTCATATCTAATTATAAAATTTGAAATTTCAAAATGGTTAAAATCAAGTAGATCTATAAACATATGAAAATCTTGAAAATGGACGGTGTAGATAATATGTTGTAAAATGCACTATTTCTGAGACTTAAAATCTTTTTATTTTTGATGGTCATACATCTCGACATTGAGATGACCAATCAAAGGGCTTTTCAACATTAAAACTACCTTTTCCGATAGATTTTTGAGGTGCATCTGTAGTTCTACATTATAAGGTTGCATCCTTATATAAACTTTTTCCTTAATTTAATTTTACAGATCAAAGATTTCTTTCTCTGGCATTTCCAGAATCTCCATCTCATGGGATGAATAAAGTGATATCCAAATTAAACAAACTCGGATTTTTATGCATATTGCTGGTAACTTTTAACTTCTTTGACCAAACAGAAATCAAGATCTGTTTAAGCCACCCACAAGCATTGCGAAAAAGACTATCAGTTTAAACCTAGGCAATATTACTTATATTTCTCTGCAACATGGTTCTTAAAATCCTTCCAGTTTACAGGGTGGAAATGGAATGTTATACAAATTTCACACAGTGTCAAAACAAATTTCTTTTTTCCTTGCATGACTTGACGGCCTTCACATCTAACATTTTCACAGAAACTAATAGAATAATAACTGCCTCATCCATCTTTATTAACCATCCTGAAGAAACACACACACACAATCTACCCCTTCTGAGGCATCAGTTCTATGGGTCTAACTATTTCAGAAGCTGAAAAATGCATTTAGACTACATTTGAAAGTGACATTTGGTTCAAAGAAGTCCAAAAGCAGCTCATTGCTCTATGAGAGGAATTTGTCATTCCAATGCAAGAAGTGGAAGTAACTTGGGGATGAGTGTGGAGCATTATAAAAATTCTATTAGAACCTTCGGGGATTTCACTTAATTGACGAAACATTACTACAGGTCAATGCTGAAAGTCGGGTTGTTTTGAAAACTTCATGCAAAGCACTTACAAACTCGTGAAATGCTCACGACAAACAGGCTTTACAAGTTACATAGTTGAATTTAAAATGCTTTGATTTCCTTAAGTATGTAAGTATCACCAACTGAAAGCTCAAAGAATGACATATCCCTAATCACAACACAGTTCATATGTTTATATAAAATTAAGCTTTCTAGTTATTTGGAGTAGGCTACCTCATAAGGAAAAAAAAAAGGAAAATATAAAAGGGTTATGTTAATCATCCCAGACTCCGTAAACCTTATGATAGTTTTGAGAATGTAGGAAATGGCGTCACTAATTTGGGTATTAAAATGACAGATTAAATATTTCTCTTATTTACTTAAGTGAAAACACATTCCACAAGCCAGAAGAAATGAAGAAAGTTCACAGGAGAAGATTCCCAAACAAAGGAAAATTAAATATGCCATTATCCTTAGGGAAGCAATCTGATTGCCTTTATTTGTTTGTGCTAGTCCAGTCTCACATAGACATGATAGTTTAGAAGCATAAATTTAAAAGATGCAAGCAAAAACTGAGGACGCAACCAACCAAAGAGAACAAGGAAGAACAAGGATAGAAAAAGCATTAAGTACCAGAAACACCACTTTTACAAAATAAAAATGATATCTGAAAAAGAAACACCACCTTTACAAAAAAATGACATCTGAAACAGAAACACACCTAAACTCATAAAAGTTCATATAATTATACAAAAAGCCTTCCCTTTTACCAAATCGAGTTTAAGCATCAGAAATATCCCTATTTTCGTGATTATTTCAGTATTCACATACATTGCAAACCAAAATTCTAATTGCTCGAATTAATCAATTAAATGATTGAAATCACTAGCATATTAGTCATAAAAGATGAAGCAAACAATCATAGAGTTTTTTCTTCCAGAGGGTCAAAGAGTTGAGGTTTTCCGTTTGTGTTCCAAAATTTTTAGGCCTTTTGGCCTTTGTTCCAATAAAATTAACAATAAAAATGGAAAACAACCAAATTCCTCTGATGCCATATATAGGCCGTAGGTGCATGCAGAAATTTTTAGCAATGACCAACAAACACCAGTTTTCCGATCCTTTTCCACCTTTCATGGTTGAGGATTCACTGTTCCTTTCCACACTTTCCCATTCAACTTCTTCAGAGTTCAGTCTACAACTGAACAGAAATTTTTTTTTTATTTTTTCTATGATGCTCAAGAACAGATTAGACTCTCACAAGTTGGTATCGTTCTTTGCTTTATTCATTTAAATTTTTTTTTTCAAGAAAAGCAAGGGAACAAATGAAGCTGTGGCTCCTTATAACGCACTTAAAATGATCGAACACCGCAAAAACCAGATGCATTTGTCCATTCCAAATGGATTGGTGTGTGAAATGGATTCAACAAAAAGAGGTTGATATTTCTTAGTATTTCTCTATGTATCAGCAAACCACCCTAGGGTTCATGGAGGCATACCTGGACCATGACAGGAGTATCAGTCTCCAGAGCCCTCTTTGCAAGCTTTGAGCAACTCCCCATGGCCTTTTGCACTTTCAGAGGACTATTACCCAAGGCAAGCATACATAAATATACAGAAATTTCAGTTTAAGAGAAGAGGATCTGAAAATTTACATGCTGTCAATTTCACCCAACAGCTAAACGGTGCTTAATCTGCGACAACCACAAGCAAAGGGTCTTGCTTTCAACGGCTCCATTGAAAAGAATATTCATGGGAAAAAGACTAAACCACCCCTAGACATACAAACAAACAGTGAATGAGGCCAAGAGGCCAAATTTTACCCTCGTACCCCTCAATTGACTCTACTTTTTAAGAAAGTGACATATTTTCTTACCATTTGTTAAACAAGATAAATCCAAAAAAGCTGGCATAACGAAAGAGAATACAGCCACTCAATGTTCCGGGCAGGAGTGGCAGTATGTATATCCGTGGCCAGCGCATCAGATCCATTTCCAACCTATTAAGTGAGTTTAGTCTGTCGTTTTTTCTTTTTTTTTTCTAATAGTATTATAAATGTTGTTAATGTTGTGATAAGTCCAAAATTTGAACCTATACCTAGATCTCAAATTGGGTATACCCGTCGGGTCACAGGTAAGGTATTACAATTGTAGCGTTGCCAATGTCGGGTCCCAGGTGAGGTATTACAATTGAAGCGTTGCTAATAAGCTGGTTGCCCAACCCTAAAAAAAAATTAGGGTTGGACTACAAAATCGTGGCCCGAGGATCAGGCTAGGGCCAGCCCATTTTGGCCTAGTGGGAACTTTTTTTTTTTTAATTTGTTTTTTTACCCCCCCTTAACCCTATAAGGAGGGTCCGGCCATGGTCACGTAGCCCGACCCCTTCAGAAGCATGGGTGTTTTAGGTATTTGAAGCGAAATTTTGGGGTGTTCAAATTATTTACGTAACAGATAACATAAAGAAGAAAGGTTTGTAACGCCTGTGACTTTCTTGCAAAATCCGCCTCCATGCTTTGACCCAAGTGAACAAAAAGAGAGACGCAATAATTGCGACTGGTCGGGTTTTATAGGATGAATGATTTATCCTCTCGCTCTCTCTACTTTTCTTCCATTATACACTTTTTCTGAGGTTTATTGACAGATGTGAAACTATGTCTAATGTTCCTGTGATTTCTAGTATGCTTTTAAGTTATCATAATCCCTTGTTTTTTGGCATTTTTGGATTGAATTCACTGTTACACTTTTACCGTTTCACTTTCAAGGTCCAAATTTGTTTAGAGGGATTAGGGTTCCAACGCTCCAAATCTTTGCACGTTAGAAATAAACTATTGAATAAAGCAGCAAGGGAATTGACTTCGTATCAGATTATACGTAAGAAACTGAATAAAGTTAGTATTTGGTGGTTGGGATTGTTATTATATTTGCAAAATAAGAGGATTGATGATTACCCAATCCAAAGCGATGAAAGAAGCGAGTTTTATAAGGATTAGAAATTGGCTCACCTGATTTTGGCTCGGGTTTTGCTGATCTGCTCCCAAATGCGGGAAGTAGACGCTCATTGAGAGAGAGGGAGGTTCATGTGTGTCTAGGGTACAGTTATGGTGTAGTTATTTACCTCAGAAAGGTGGGGACCAAATTTAGTATCTCTTTAAAGCATGATTTTTTTCCAAAAGGAATTGATTTTTTGAAATTTATTGAGAATTCCAAGTTTTTCAAAAGATCTTAAAAAAAATCACTTTTTTTAATGAAACTGATAGAAACCCCGTGTGTGATAGAGGTGGCAATTTACTAAAAAAAAAAAAGTTGAGCAATTTTATAGAGATACTCGTGTACTACCAATTTCAGAGGTGGTGGTTGAGAAGGGTGCAAAGCCTATATCCTGATATTGTAAAACACATCTCATTCTCCTTTCTCAGAAAGTATACTTAAGATAAAAAACCATGCTATATGAACTATGAAGATGCTCATATTGAATGCATATCAGCCTTCGACAAAAAGAAAACCATTATGTGTGATTTCAAAAGTTTTCTCCTGAAGGAGAAAGGCCTTTATTTGTGATATCAAAAGTTTTCTCCTGATTGAGAAAGGGCTCTCTTGAAAGATGTGATCATAGCTACTTCAAAGTTCAAAGAACAGATATTTGTATTTTTAAGACAAGAATGAAAGGAAAAGAAAATCAAAACAAGGGAATACCAGATTTTTTATCACCAACAAAAATTTATCATATTTCAATAGCATTTGGAGATAAATAGAGAAAAATAACCAATAATCCCTTGATTCTAAGGCCTTTGAAGATTGTTCAAGAAGAAGAATCCATTATGTAGCTTATGAAATAAGCAGCATCACAATTCACATTATTATGAGAATTAGGGTTAGCGTTAGGGTTCCAGTTTTGGGACAGAATAGAATAAAGGGAAAATGGGCAACTGAGAAGAGAGAGAGAGGACAGAGCTTTAATCGAGGAAGCAATATTCGCAAAATCGAACCGGAACGGTTAACAGGTTATGAGGTTGGGAACGGTTCGAACCGGAACCGAACTAACCAGGGTGGTTAACCGGACTAACCGGTCAAGTAGATTTTTTTAAAAAAAATGGGTCAAAAACCCCAAAACATATTTAAAAAATTAAAAAAATAAAAAAACTTAGATTAAGTCATATATGAGTCATTTTTCTTCTTCTAAATTGGTCATGTATTAGTCATTTGAATCAAGTTCCATCATAAGGTGCAGACAATTCATGGTTTCAATAGAGCAATAGAAAGTTCTTGCAAATTCACAATACTTCTACAGTAATTCCATAGATTCTCACTTAATAGTAGTAAGTAGTGTTGTAATAAATATATCGGTGCAATAAATATATCGGTACGTATAAAGTCTAGTCTAATGAAATGTTATATAACAAAGTCGTAATTGTTCCAAAGTACAAAGCAGATGTGGTCGGAAATTTGTTAGCACGGAATGGAGTACTTTTACCATGTGCTATGATTTCCTATCAAAAACCCAAAGAATTCATTGTTTTATACAGTAAACTTAGCCAAGAAACATGAATGTTTTAATACTATATATATAACATTAAAAAGAAAGAAATTTTTTTCTCATATTCATCACAAAAAACATATTTTTATAAAAAAAAATATAACATTAAAAACAATATAACAAGCACACCAAAAATATATAACATTAAAAAGAAAGAAATTTTTTTCTCATATTCATCACAAACAAACATATTTTTGTAAAAAAAAAATATAACGTTAAAAACAATCCAACAAGCTCACCAAAAATATACAAATAACATAATTTTATAAATAAATAAAAAGTAATTTTATTAAGAAACAAATTTTTTTAAGAACTCTAAAATCAAGCCAAAGAACACAAACTTTAGAGTCAAAATCAACCCAAATCTTTCATTTTTTTAAACAAATTGACATGGGGAGATGATAGATACTTCAATTACGATTAAAATGCACCAAATATCAGGAAGATCAATTCACTATTGAGATCGTTCTTCAAAAATGGTGGATATTTCACTTCACGCAATTTTCAAAAACAAATATGTAGCAAAAAAAAAAATCATATAAATAAATATACTCAATGATAAATCAACATACCTGATGTATTCGATTGATGAAGCCTTGATGATCAAAATTAACTAATTAATTCAATAAAAAACGATCAATACATAGATAAAAAATCAATTGTTTTTCATCCAACACAGTTCTTCGAGCAGCAGCATTTTCGCCTGAAATCAACCTCCAAAATTGATCTTTTTCTACAAATCAAAATAGAAAAAAGTTTAAGACTTCAGTAATAAGTCAAAGCCCTACATTTCCATGCATATTCATGGGGTCTTGAAGCTCAGATTGATAAAATGGCAGAAATTTCACAGTTTAAGAAATCTGCCATTTCAATCGACCAAAAAATGTTTTTCTTTGATTTTTGATTAAATAAACAATGTTTTATAGAAAATTTCAGGTGTATAAGTGCAATAATTCACCAAAAACAAACAAAAACAGCCAGAAAAATCGAATAAGAAAAGGTTGCAAAACGTGAATCGCAGGTTCTATTTAAAATAACGGCCTCTATGTCAAATAACGACCGTTATTTAATATGGTACTGTTGTGAACGTTATATCGTCTGTTATATCGGTAAACCAGTCCAATTAGTTGAAACTAGCCGGTTTTGAATTAAAACCGTCGGTTCGACTTTGAACCGGCCGGTTTTGGTGATAAGTATTTTTGAAGGTCCCCGATTTTTTACTAGTCCTACAAAACTGGCTTTCACTGGAGTCGGTACCTTGGCGGTACTTATCTAACCGGCAGGTTCAGGTTCAACCCGGCTGATTTTGCCAACCCTGAGATGGAGACATACCATCTTATGTTTTGAAAGTGAACAAAATGACCAAATTGTCCTCGAGGTTTTAAGTTAATTATCGAAAGATTGTTCCAAGGAAATCATTAAATGACAAACTTGTCCCCAATATGGAAAAAGTGGCTCACAGTGTTTAGGGTGAGCCGGTTGTGCTAATACGCTTAAGTGACCGCACAAATTTCTCGTGGGCCCATCCTATGCATGTCGATCACAACCATTGGTCATTGGTTTCAATGGCGAAGATGTTATCAGATCTGACGAGCGGTTAGTTCAATCAAGAACCTCCTCGAATAAGTTGGATTATATTCCAAAAAAAATGCAAAAAATAGAAATAATAGTTTCAAAATATAAAATATATAATAAAAAAGTTTCTTAACTTCATATAGCTAATAAAAGCATAAGGTCGGACGACCCAGACCGGGTCATATTTGATATTTTTCAACCAAGACAAGTTTTTACTTTAGACCGAATCAGCCAAGGGACCGGCTAGACCGGTGGATCCGATCGTGTGTACACTCATGCATTAGAAAGTGATAAAAGAAATTGCTGGTCGCACCCATCCTTATACTAATCAAACCCCAAATGTGGGTGAAATTATAGTCAAAGGACTAAAAAATGAGTGGGCTATTAAGAGGTAATATTGTTGTGAACCACGTTCATGGGTGCAACTAGCAACCCTATCGGTTTTGTTGAATGGAGCAATATCATTATTTTCAAACACATTTGTTCAGTGCTTTTGTATGACCCGCATAATCATAGAGAAGGTGTGTATATCACTTCCAAATGGCATGAACATGCTTTCCACATTTTTAACGGAATTGGAAATCACATTCTTTCTATAATG